AAAACTTGCCACTCGTGCCTCAAGGAAAAGAAAAGGGCAGCAAGAGACCACATTTAGCTCAAGGCAGTCCGACTCTGGCAGAAGGGAGCAGATAAGAACTGCAAGCACAAAATTGAGTTTCAGTATGGACTGTCAGCTTCCAAGCCTCCCACCAGTCAGAACAGCTAGTTCCCCACTAGCAAGAACTTTTTGTAACTTGATCCTCTACTTCTTTCCCTTCCCCAAGCCTTAAAGGATTATGGATCCAGTTCTGTGCTGTATGAAATTATTTTGTGGATACTTTGTGGACTGCGGTATGATACAGAAAATTAGGTTCATATTATTAAAACTTCTGACACGATTTCTCCTATGGAGTCATAACAGTCAAACTATTTTCCTTTTGTGCATGTCTAAACATTCTATTAGGATGATAATGTCCATCTTTTGATATTTCTTTCAAACCCTTGCTTAATTTGAATGAAACCAAATAGAAACTACCTATTATTGCTGAATTCAAGTGATTCCTGAAAATAAAAAATCTGGGATGCAGCAAGGTGAGGGGAGAGATTTACCTTTCCAAAGGTAACGCGTTGCAAGTGCTAAAAAGAGCATCATCTTCACATCAAATCAAGCAAGGTACAGGATCCAAGAAACAACGTGCCAAGAGGCAATTTCTCAGCAAGATGTTAGCATCAGAACACAAAGTGATGTGTCTGGAAGCAGAACTGCTGAGCTGCAAACAACCTGGGTGTGAGTCAGAGAATATTAGGACAGTGCCTGTCCACCAGGAATACAGACTTGATTGCATGTGACTCGTGTCAACTCTGGAGACATCAAGAGCAGAACATAAAAGCAAGGCAGCAGAGATATTTCTAAATGAGCCATTCAGCCTCTAAGGCAACGAATCTGGCAACAACTCAAGTTTCAGGAGAAAAAAAGTCAGCATTCCAGGTTTGTGTTCCATGGTTATATCTTTCATTCATTTTTCTCAGGCAAAAGGTCACTGAAACATCATGTTTTAAATCATTAAAAAACACAATCAATCTCCTTTCAAACTAGCCCATAACTTTGAAACTAGAATCCAATTGCCTGTTCAGGCTCATTAGTGTCTTTGGATCCTAATGACCCACTCAGTTGCAGTAAATGAAAAACTAATCCTTGTTTTATGCCATTGGCCCAAAAGGATTAGCCAACTCTTGCTACCCCTGCAATCAGCCTTGCACTGGGGGGATTACAACCATCTAATACTGTAAGTCTACACATTCCAATCTGTTACAATATGTAGCACTTAAAGCTTATTTCCTTGAAATACTTAAACGTATTAATGCTGTAGTGTAAGATTGTTTTCTTAGGATGCAGTGATTCACCTGCCCCTGCCCCCAAAGCCTTCATTTACCCACATACATGCAGAGATTGTTCCTCTCAACACAAAGTTTTAATTAAGTTCATGGGCTTGAAGTGAAAAATTAAAACTTTATTTTCTTTGCATAAAGCCCAGGCTGTGGATGAAATGATGCACAGAATTTCTGTGGGGTTCAGTGCAGTAATTTAAGAGGTAGCTAGAAATAAAGCCACTACTTACATACAATGTTCTCTGATCTACTCTGTAGGTTGTAACTCCAGGTTTGTACCACCTGTACCACTGCAATTTTTCCAGCTCAGAATTCTGGTTGCTCTTGTTATATTACATACAAAATCAGTAAGCAATTAGATGAGCCTACAATGTCATGACATAAATTTTTGTTTTCCTCAAAGTACTCACACGTTGCCATTGACAATTTAGTGTGGTAAAGAGACAGTTTTAACACTCTCAGTTGCCCTGTTCATATAGTTTTTCTGATATAAAATATAAAAAACTCTTGTGGTTGTATCACCTTAAATATTGTACATAACAGCACAACAAAATTTGTCCTGCAGAATGTTATGCTGGACATATGCACTTTAGATCAATACTCTTACACTGAAGTTACAGAAAATTCATAAATTTGAAACATGAAACTTGATTTTTGAGTGGGAACAGTTTGCTGAATATCTAATTGCCTATTAAAAGAGGTGTCTGAAGGCATAAAACAACAGTACATGGAAATAAACCTTATATTCCACAACCCCTGGAAGTCATTACGTTAGTCTTTACCTCATAGTTTCTAAATTAATTTTTTTTGTGTCAAATTTATACAGTAGGTGCTTATTTGTCAGCCAAATACCCCAAACTGTTTATAAACATGCTTTGCATTTATGTATCAGTAAAATTATCAGAAAAATAGTAGATGGTGCTGCAGTCATGATGTAATGTTACTTTAGAAATTAAAACAATTTTTTTACTAGAAGACTACTTTGCAGAACAAGGCAGATATGCAGAAATGCTTTCTATGTTATTTCTGATCATAAAAATGACATTACTTTACAGCTGTTATTTCTGTGGGAGAAAGAAAACCAAGGCATCAGTGTCTTCCTCACCACAGCAGCAGATAAGAGTGTAAATTTCATTAGTCAACTTCTTCAAAGTTTTTTACTCAACAAATTAAAAAATTTATTTATTCAGGTATCATTATATTTCCTACAAGGTTGGTGATGCAAAATATTTATGATTACTATTTATTTAACCTAATGGAGCTACAGCATATTAGCTTTTACAAGCAATATTTCAAGTGAAGTGGTTTTCTGTCAAAAACTTCATTAAAAGCCTAAGTGGAACAGTAAAGATATCAGGGCTCTAAATAAACATTAACCTTCTGGTTGGGATACTCTTATAAGATTCAAAGTCAAATCCCTGCCTTGTTTATTGAAGAGGGGTTTTTGTTGTCAGTACCTTAGGGCTTGGTTGTGAGCCTGAACTCTGTTTTACTCGGTGCCATCCAAGGAGAGAACAAAAATGCAGCCCCACCTCCAAGGACCTGCAGCACAAGTGCACAGTGTCACCATATTGTCACTTTGCTGACAGCTGCACAGCTTTTCAGGGATTACAGCTCCCAGCTGCCCTTGCTTCTGGAGGTTCCTGGGCTCCAGTTCAGTTGCAGCCACGTGTGGGATACCTGCAGTACCTGGGTTTTGTTATCAAGCAGCCCTTGCTGTGCTGACAAGAGACTCTCTCTGCTCAGCTTTCAGGCTAGAAATGGGTGCTAGTGAGTGTGCAGGGCAAACCAAAATGACATTGGGCAGTGAGAGATGTACCAGTGCCAGCAATCCATCAACACGACTGCTACTGATTTTATAGGCATAACCAGGGACCATTTCTAGGTGGAATTTGACAGGTACCAACTAAAAAAATCACACTGTGTGTTCATAAGCAATTCATGGTCCTAGAACTCAGAGAAGTATCCCAAATGTTGAGAGGTTGCCTCTTCTGAAGCAGCTTTCTCTACTTTGTTATTAATCAGCCTATCCAATTTGTGTCAGTAAACATCCAGCAAGACTGAGGACTGTGGTTTCTCCACAACCTGCAGCCCTGACTTGTACAGTCTGACATCTTAGGCATGGATAACAGAATTCATCAGGAAATATCTTCAGTTATGGAATAACTGAGCAAACAAAATTCAACTTTTGGCTTTCTAAATGATCTCAGAATATCTGCCAGCAGTGTACCATAAACACTGCCCCAAATAAAAGGTAGAGACTCAAACCAGCCTCTACCTTAGGTTTTTCAGATTGAAAGGTATGCAGTAGATTAGAAAAGCTGTGTCTCACTTCTTAGTAGCTCGTCCTTAGCAGGATTTCACTAAAACTTCTTGATTCACTTCCAGTTAAAAAAAATTCCAATTTTCACAAATCTCTAGGCATTAAAATAGTCCTGAGGCATTTAGGAGTTTGGCAGAAAAGAAACAGTGGCATAGATTATCAAGCTTTTGGCAATTAAGGGTTTTGCAGGGAGCAGAGGGGAAGGGACTCTATTCCCCTTGGGACTTTGTTGACATTTTTTTGGCAGACTGTGCAGACTCTACAGGTAGGATATTTATTGACCACTCTCAGTCTGTGTGCCCTTCTGACTCGTTTGTGCATTTGCAATCTCTTCTCTGAAGTCTGCTGAATGATGTGGAACTCTTTATTTTGTTTGCCTGCTGTCAGGCAGGGAGTTTTCTCATAGTAAGTGATCAGGAAACCCAATTCCCTTTTAAATTTATGAAGAGTTTCAAAAATGAGTAACCTACGTTTCATATGTAACAAAAAAAATCTTCAAAATGACCTTGTATTTCCTTCAAAGGCCATAAATATTAAAGTTGTGGTTCTAGAGAGGATGGTTCTGAGGGATTCCCAGGACACACTGCTCTGGTGGCTCAGAACAGTCAGCACTCCTTGCTGAGTAACCCTGATATTGTCCTAACAGTCATTCTTTCCATAAGGAAAGGCCTTTTCTGGAGAACTGAGGGATATACTTGTACTGACCACAGCTGGACTTTGGGAACTATCTCTGTCTTTTTTGAAAGACATTAGATAAAGAGGAAGAAACCTGATTTGGGGATTTTGAGAAGAAATAAGGAAAGAAAGAAGGAAAGAAGGAAAGAAAAATGTTAGGTACTACAACTGCAACATTGTTCCATTTCATATACTAAGAAATCTTACAAAACTTTACATAAAATTAACAAAAATGTTTATTTTAAATATTTTATTAATCAGCTGTTTTACACAGAATACTGGAGAACATTGTCTTTAATTCAAATTCAGCTTTAACTGCTTCAACAGTCATTCTTACTAACACAAGCAATTTAGTTTATACCAGAAACTGAAAGTTATCATCTATATGTTAAAATGCTCTCACAGACATTGAATTAACACTAAAATGCTATTTCTGTTTGTGAGTGCCAATTTAACAAGAGCATACAATAACATTTTATGAACAAACATGTTTCAAAGATAAATAAGAACATCTCAAAACACAAGGTTGATGAACACACATTGCAGCAACTGCAATAATGTATTGCACAAGAAATGGAAGGAGAAGAAATGCTTTGTACTTTAACTCAAGAAACTGGAAACATTTGTCAAGGCTAAGTAGGGAAAAGAATTTAAAAGGAAGTCAAAGGTATTCAAAAGAGTGTAAATGGCTTTGTATTTTGTGTGTTAGAATGAAAACCTTTCATAGAAGGAGACTCTGGTGATCTCTGATCCTGTCCAAATGCAAATGAAAAACTAGCATCATCTTTTCCATCTCCAAATGAAGGAGAAGTTGATTCCGAGAGGAAAGGGAAGGCAAATGCATCCTCATTATCTTGTTTCCCAAAGAAGCTTCCTATATGGCATACATATAATATTTGTTATTAGATTAAATCTGAGAGAATACTGCATTCAGCATATGCTTCTTTATTAACATATTGTGCCAAATATCCCCCTGAGCACCACTCTACAGTTGTGTGTTTATTGCTGCACCAGAGATTTCCGGAGGGGTGTTGTTAGAATTGACATTGAAGAAAGTGTGGAGCACTCGAATGGTTTAGAACAACAAAACACTTCTGCATGATACATTCTGCATGAGGCATTTGTAAACAGAATCTGCAAAAGTGTTTATTTAGAGAAAAATGTGATCAATCATTGAAATACTTGGACTTTTTCTTCTCCTTTGCAAGTCCTCTCATTTTGATTCAAACACACCCAACACTATCCCTGTTTCTTTCTTTCTCATACCTCTTCCATGATACATCACACATTTGAAGTCCAACATGCAAGGGAAGATTTAAAGATTTAACTAAAGATTTAGTTAAAACATAAATGAGCACAATAAACCACTGAGCTACATTATCACAACTGAACATCCTTTCAGACAACCAAAGGAGCTCTGCTAAGCTGGATCATGAGCCTGTCAGTCATAGGAACACAAGCAGAAGAAAGCTCATATACACAAGTACATCTGAGTTTCAGACTTACCAGTATCTTTGTGTGGGGACATAGAGCCCAGGTTTCCTATAGAAAAATTTTCCTCTGTCTGAAATGTAAAATAATTTTTAATTTAAGAAATGAGGAAGGCAAAAAGTAACTTTAATGCTGATATGTAATATGTTCATTTGCTTTTAGTAAGAAAAACACTGTCTCAGTGAATGTTAGCAGCCTTTACAAAATCTGGATTTAAAGGCATGTATCAGTCCCTGAAGTTGCAAGGTAGGTTCTTTGATCAGACGGGTTTTATGATATTTGCATGCAGCTGCAAACCCCTTCCTTCATTTTTCTGGGAAAAAAACATACTGAAAACAGTCCAAAAGCTGACCTGACTTACTGCTGTTTTTTTAAACCAAAAAGATTCAAAATTATTCAAATCTGTTGCATTTTATAAAATCTCCAAGCAACAACACAAATACTTCCTACTGAGTAGAGCCTCATATTGCCAGAAGGAGTAGCAGGATAACCACTTGTCACTCTTAAAATGAGTTCTTAGACTAGATTTAAAATAGATACTGAAGTCCTTCAAAACTCCCATCTAACTTTAAAGAATCCCAGATCTGCTACAGCCTGGTAAATTCTTGGTTTCTGCTGCTGAGCAGGCACAAAATAATGTGGATTCTGACAACACTAATTGACCTAAAACCCACCTCATTCCTAAACAATTCATAAATCACAAACCAGTGTGTTCTCTCCTAGACACAGTTCATGCTATGAGATACCAACCACACGAATCTTGCCAAATCCAGAATAAAATGGTGTTTTCCCTCATCCCTGCTTCAGCCAGTAACCACAAGACTGGCACACCCCCTGCAACAGGAGCAACCTGGGGTCAAATCCCTTATTTGATACACACATCTATCCTGGATCCCCAATTATCTACCTAATACTCCAGGAGAGGAAAAATTACTCTAGAGCACTGGAGTTAGGGAACCTGCAAAGAAAATGGAAGACCTGGATTTCATTCCCTGTTCCATTTAGTTGCATACCTAGTTCCTCCATCTGAGTATAGCTAATCCACATTTGCTGTTCAGTAACCCCAGCAGACTGTCCTTTCTTCCCTTCTCATTGTTCTTCACTTCATCAAGACAAAACCACACAGAAGAAGTGTGTGAGTTGTGAAGTCTGCTAGAGAACTTGAATTTTGCACTGTAACACCGAACCAGAAGCCTTTTGGTGAATTGAGTCACTGTATATTTGCACATGACCCATATGAGAGAGATTCATACTTGGTAATAAATCATCATAGGGGGATTGCCAGGAAAGGAATTAAATATTTTCAAAGAACATCAAGCTTAAAAGAATCAAGATATTAAAAAAATGTTTGCTCAAAGATAACCAGATTGAAAAATCTCACTCAGTGTAAATGCTGTTTGGTTCACATATTTTGCTTTGTGGAAATTTAATGTTCACAATTAATCATTTTTACCTCATCAGATGAATTTTGTCCTCCAAACAGAGAAGAATCAAATAAATTAAAGCCAGGTGACTTCTGGAAGAAGTTCATGGCAGGAAAAAAAGCAGGAGATTGTGATGCTCCTTCTCCACAACCTAAATTTTTCATGCTGTAAATACAGAAAAGTAGAAACTATATTAATTGTGTTTTAAGTAGATATCTTTTTTTCCTTCTATTTTTTCCTTTTCCTCTTTTTTCACTTTTTTACATCCCCATGGCTTCCATCAGTAATTGCCTTTTGCATCACAGAAAACACAATTCTTTAAAGTAAACAGAGGTGGTGTTCTTACCAACTCCCTGCCCTCTTAACAAAAAAAACCAAAAAGCCTGTTTAAAAATAGAAATCAGAGTAACAAATATTACTGCAGGAAAAGACAATGTGTCTCATATATTTCTAAGAAAAGTACTGATCTTTCAAAACAGCATCAACTAGAAATGATATTGTGAGAAGGAAACTTAATAAATATCGAGTATAACTCAGGAAAACAATCAGAATATTTTCAGAAGAGCTTTCTAGAAAATTCTTTCTGTAGTATCTTTCAAAAAGGGCAGAAATGCTTATACAATAAACATGAGTACAACTTTTTGCTCAGAATCAAAACAGAAGTTGAGATCATACAAGTCAAATGGAGGTGTTTTTGAGAAGCGTGGGTGTTTCCCCTTTAAGTCAGGTGTTTTAGGTAGTCTTAAGAAAGGTTCTACACTTTCTTCTGCTATGTCAGGATTATCTTCACTTGGCTTAAAATCTGTGTGCACATCCTGTTAAAAAAAAACAAACAACGATGTTCATAACATACAAAATTTCCCAAAATATCATTAGCCCTTTTAACTATAAATATGTTCTCAGTGGAGCCAGCACTGAGCCTGTTTATTTATAGTTCTGTGCAAGAAATGAGTTTTAAATGCAGACTCTTGTCAAAATGTTTCATCAGCTCACATTAATGAAAATGTTATGCACCAATTGATACTTTACCAATTTCTGAGACCTGCTTCTTGACAAGTGAATCAAGTATGTCAAAATACTTTGACTATTCTAAAACTTCTTACTAATGACATAAGAAACGCTTTTCTTACTTGAGGTACATACAAGCTGCCCATGGGCTCATCTGCTTCTTCATCAACATGTTTGGTCTCTTGGCTTGCTGCACAAAAAAGACAACCCTGCCTGTATTATAACAGCATTTTAAACAGACACATAAAAACGACATTGTGGGAAAGAATCCTTGAGAAAAGTTCAGTAGCCTGGCATTGCTATTGGTAAGGAAGTGTTCTGACTGATTTTCTTAACAACCCACTTTGTGGCTCTATCTGTAACAATTACCTCTTGTTCTGCCACTTACTGTTTTCAAAGCTTTACTCAGGCTGCTGCTTGTGGTTTGGTGTGTTCTTCAAACCTGCCCATTGTTCCCTGAGAGTGCTGCTTTTTCTATTCCAGCTATTGCCCTCTGAGAGTGCCAATAGTCAATAGAAACCAGGGGGGAACAATATAAAAGCACATCCATGTGACAGTGATGAAGTGTAGTTTAAAGAACTGGACAAGAGTCAGGATGAGAAATGAGAAGAAACATTATCAGACTTTCTGCTGTCAGAGTTTCTGCTGTAAGCTTCAGATGGTGCCATGCCTCAGGCAATGTGGGTTAAGGTCCTACGTTTCAGTATTCCCTTTGTAAAAAAATCTAGGCTATAATCTTTTACACGCATCTACATTAGCAGTTAGAAATTAGATTTACAATTAGAAATAATTAGAAAAAGAAATATTTAAACTGAAGCTCACTTCCCTGTGATTTCAAAAACTATAGGTGTACTTTTAGCTACTCTGGTTTTTTTTCTGTAAACATTCTGCATGTTTTTCTCTAGTTAATTTTCATCTTTAATAATCTTTATCTGATTCGTCAAGATACCTAAATTACTGGGTTTATTATATTCCTTTTCTTTGCATTTTCTCATGCCTTCTGGCTAGATGTTAAGACTGGATTTCATTTTACCCAAGTAATTTGAGACTTGAGTGTGAATTTACCAGAGGTGTTGGACAGATCCTTTCATTCACAATGGTCAGTGCAGACTGAATCCCACATTACTGAGAAGTTAGCTCTCTATTTAAATTAGGACTCTGCCTGTCTGCTATACTCAAATTTTCATCTAAACAATCAATGTGGAAAAGAAATGCAAATGGTGGCCCTCTTAATGCCAGAATGAAAATCTGGTCCCTAAAATTTTCTGGTTTATAATTATATGATCCAATCTTATAAAAAAATTACGGTAGTACTTTACCCATTACTGCATTTTCACTCTCAAATTGTTGATTGGAAGTCAACTGCTTTGGAAGATCTGACAGTCTAAAAGACAAAGTTTAATGTTTGTCTAAATGTGAATTACTTCCACAAACCCCAGCCTCAAGAATAAAAGCTATTTTATTAAAGAAAAGTTACCTGAATCTCACTTGGTTTTGTTTGCTTACTATTGATGGAACTTTGGCAGTTTGTTGGTTACTAGTCCCTGCAGTGCCAATAGCCATCTAAAAGACGGAAGAAAATTCAAATTAGGCAGCAAGTGAAATTGTCACTGCAACAGTATCACTCTGATTTTTCCTTAGACTGTGGAAATCCCTTCATTTAACCAGAAATTAAGGATCAAACAATGTAAAAGCTTTTTCTTCGTTTTACCTACATTTTGACAGCATGATACCCAAAATAATTTCTGTAATTTTTTAATAAAGTCTTAGTCACAGCACTGAAAACGACATGTGATTAATTAACTTTTCTGTAACACAAATAATGCTATGCCATTTACAAACTTCATGCAGGTTTGCTGCTGCTGCAGCCTGGTTGCTCGTGTTTGTCAACACAGAAAGGGCTGGGGCCAGGCCTGGCTCTGCCTCTGAAGGCCAACTGAGCATCCACAGCAGTCTCAGTCAGCACAGGTCTCATGTGGGGATGGAAAAACTGCAGAAAACATGAAAATACTCGCACTTCACAGATTTTCACCAGAGCAAAAGCCTTCACTCTTCTATGTAGCATGTATTTGTGCCTTAAGGGCAGGGTGAGGAATCTATGCCTCAGCATCAAATAACACATTATTTTACAGGCCGTGTCTAGTTCTTGTTTATTTTTAATTAACAAAATGTATCAAATTGAATTCTATTCAGGGTAGGGGACAAAAGAGCTGGTTCTGCACAATCTGCCTGCCACTCAACTCCTGTAGTGTACAGCACACCTTTTCTGAAGCATAGAAATCTTCTTTCTTCCAATCTTTTTGTTTTTCCTCAGACTCCATCTTCTTTTCCTTGTTGCCATCACCCTATCTTAAAGTTCTCTTAACCTTGACTTACTGCTTCCTACAATTGTCTAGGTCCCAGACTCCCAGTCTCATCTCTAGATTACCCTGGCAACAGCCCTTCCATCATCCTCATCATGTCCAACTCCCTAAGCCAGTCACAAATCAGAATTGCTTGAAATTTCTTCTGGTCTTTTCCCACTCAGTCCTGTCACTGTCCCTCCTCCTGTCCTGTGTTATGAAGGCTTTGTCTCCTCACACAGGCTCCACTCAAAACCATTTAGTGATTCACTTGCCTTATTCTTCAGTTCCCTTGAAATTCTTAAGAAAATTACAAGTGGTTCTGCTAACTTTTTTTACTTGATTTTTTTTTGTTGTTCATTAAATTTTGATTTTAAACAGATCCAGTGAGATGTCCCTTAGAAAGATGGTTTTGAGATAGAAACTTCTCCAAGCTCCTGCACAGCAAACACAGTTACAAACTCTTCTACCCCTTATGGCTTTATCTCCTCTGATTTCTTAATTTGTCTGGCACTCCATGAGACTATTGATGGTTTTCACAACTTTGCAAGTTGTACCTCCAGCTTTCTTCTGGATTAGATTATTGTATTTGATTAAAAAGTATCGAATCTGAATAAAGCTGCAATTCACTTCACCATTTCAAAAATGTCATAGTAACTATATCCTTATGGGTGAGAGATAGGAAATGGAGCTGTGGGCTCCTGCAGTGCACCAAGGAGTGTTGTCCATGGTTTTATTCCTCTCAGCTCAGAGTTCTGTGTCTGGTTAAACCTCAGAATGGAGTTGTTAACTGTGGGCTGCCCTGTACACTCAGTCCTTTATTAAATCCTTCATTATGGAGCAGATGGTTCATGATTCATGAGTAACAGAAGATTCTGATCCTCCTTCAGAGTTCCAAATATTCACTACATACAGAATCTACAGAGGTAATTTTAAATGCTAAAAACTGTTATACAAAATGAGTTGGTAAGATGGTCCACCTCGATTTTGGTGTTAGAATGCACTTTCTAAGAGCATAGACATTTTCAGAAAGAAAAGGCACCAAAGAAAGACTTTTGCTGTGATTACCAAGCAGTTGCAGTGCTAACAGGTTTTATGTAAGACATAATACCGTGAGGTATATTTGAAGTGTTTTAAATTTAAACAACCACATAAAACAGATTATATAATTTCCTATTTTTACCACTGGGAGAGCAATACACCTGTGATAAATTTTCTGCAAGGCTGGAGGAACAGCTGGTGGCCCCTGGACGTTCCATTGGTTTCTCTTTTTCTTCACTCCCTAAATTTACAAATATTACATAATATTGTCAATAAGATTAATTATCCAAAGCATGGCATTGTTAAACAGAACTTGGGAACAAACCTTTTAAATTTTCCTTTTAACAGAGAGCAAAAAGAAACTTATCACAAAATATGAAAGTATCAAACAAGTAACAGCTGTTTAATATTTACTGTATTAATGTGAACAGCGCTAAAGGTATTTTAGATTTGAAATTAAATTCTTTTCAGATGTTTCTGACACCATGCATCAGGTGTATCTGTCATGCTACCTTACTCACTGCACAGGTATGGGAGAAATCAGACACACAAGATTTCCAGAGCATAAAAAAAGGTCAGCACCCAACTTCCATTGAAAGTCTGGCTTCAACTCTAAGCAGTTGAGCAGTTTACTAGATTTGTTATCATCACTTACCCATTATTTTGCACAAAAATAACCCCAACTGCTCACAGAAGTCAGTAAACATACTACACCTGTTTCTGGTCGTTGCTTTGGAAATCTAAAACTCTGTACAGACTGGACAAATTTCTGAGGAATGCCTGGGACATGCAATGTTTTACATAGCTGACGTCTCTCCTTTGGCAAAGATGGGTGTTGACGCTCTTCAAACACCCTAAACAAATTTAAATTAAAAAAAAATCATTGCAAAAGAAATTATAAAATATAACTGCTTCAAATAAGTGGAATTCTCAAGGGCATTGGATGTTGTCAAGGAAGTTCTCCCACTTTCAGCACCAGTAGTTGATAAAAATGAGGTTTTCTTTAAATAATACCAGAGAGAGAATATCTCTGAAAAAGAAGCCATAAAGGAGTAATAACCCAATCATAAGAACATTGATGGCTAAAATTTTGTCAGTATCAAAGAAAAGTATTAGTACTGTGAAGTTTTACACTTAGATTAAAGTGCCTCATTATTGTAGTTCTGAAATCACATTTTCACATTTAAAAACACTTTCTCTCTCTCTCTCTCTGAGATTGTCTGGAATACTCACACTACATGTACACAAAAGAGAAAACTGCAGCAAGTGTTTTCACTTGTGGGGTAATTATCTGTGTAGGGTAAATAGCCCTTTACAGTGCAGAAAGACAAAGGTTAGCAGAACAATGAAGAGTAAAGAGGCTGTTTGGCACAGGAACATTTACTATTTTTTAGAATAATGAGTTCTATTTTATTTTCTCTCTGGCATTCCTGCTCAGTGCCTCTGTGCTTCTAGCTACAACATCTGGTTTGTAGCTGACTGAACAATGCTGTTCTGAACAAATGAAGAACTGAGTCAGTCTTTTTGTTCGTCTTGAAATTCTCCATAAACAAAAATAAGATAAAATGTAGGATACATTTTATAAGATAGCGTGGAGCAAAATTAGCAACACTAATAAAAAGATACTACTGAGAAGCACTGGCTATATATAAGAACCCAACACATGAAATTCATACACATACATGTGAACTGTGTGAACTGTGCTCACATAAAACCCTGAAAGCACCTCAGCTAGTATCTCTGATGAAAAAGGACTATTTTCTCTTGCAGTTACGTTTATACCTGGTGCTGTGCTGGACTGAGACTGAACAAACTGTACAAAACATCTACCACCTAAAAAACTAAAAACCAAAGTAAATCTTTCAGTTACATTAGTTCTAGATAAACCTGTGTCAAGAATGAATACTACAGCAAACAAGATGTGTGTGGCTGGTGTATCTTTAAATTCAGATGCAGGGAGCTCAAAAGCAAGGGGAAATCAAAACAGAGCTAAGCACAGAACTCTGGCTAAAACTGTTTCACTTTATTTCACTTTCATTTTACCCCAATCATCATTCAAAGATCAGTTGACCAAGGCTACTGTGGCTGAGGTCATCAGTTAGACTGCCATAAACAGGGGGGATTTGTGGCTGGGGGACTGTTTGGTTGGTTTGGGCTTTTTTCAGAACTTAGAATGTCAAACTCTGTTTTTAGACGTTCCTGGAGTCAGTTTCCTTGCTTCTGTAAAGTCTAGCAGACAACTCTATAGTTCTAAAGATTTACTCTCCATTAAATAAAAAACCTTCTTACAATGCATATCTACACAGAATAATGTTTCAAAGGCAGAGCTACAAACCAAACTCAGAAGTTCTTAAGATATTCATTCTTTAAGTAACAAAACCTTCCAAAAAAGCCTGCAAACTCTATGCATATGCAGTACACCTGCTCCCTTGCCTCCACAAAAGCACTATTGAAATATAAACCATGCACATCTTCTCTGACATTAATTCATACTACTGGAAGAAAAATAAAACTGCATTATGAAGCTCAAAACAACCCAAATTGCAGCAACAAGGATAATCATTTGTCTTCTTTTTCTACTTCATTGTTAGTAGACATCTGAGTAGATAAAAACTCTTTAGCTTGGTCCATACTGCAGGGGTTTTTTAAAGTGCAAAGAGAAAAACAGATATTCTTAAGCCAAAATAAATTGCCATTTCCTTAGTAGTATTTTCTTCTTTGTAGCATAAAGAAACCCAAGGATTAATATTAATTTTCACTACAGGAATCAAGTGTATCTTATTATATATATGAAGAATCCCACCAGCTTCTATGGTATTTACAGCCACTGAAACCACATTCAGTATTCTCATGAGGAGCACTTTTTGGAGTTGGTTCTTCATATATGTTTACATTAGAAATCAAGAAACAACTTCAAAAGTACTTTTCTAAGATTCATATTATCAAATTTTTTCTTTGATCAGTAGAAGTCAATCACTTTTAATGCAAAGATGCAGCAAAATCTGCAATAATCCACCATGGAATCTCTTTTATGTGAAGCTTTAGCAAAAAGCTCTCACTTGGAAAGTAAGAGAATGAATTAATACATGACCAAATTGGAAAAAAAAATAAATAATTACCGAGTCATGGAATTAAATCTCTCCCAAAAGTTTTATAAAAGCAGAGAGAATGAACACTCTACATGCCATAACACAGTTCAAGATACTAGCCTTTCTATGTATTAAATAGAATGTCTAATTGAGAAATCAAGACCAGGGCTTCTAAAGAGTTGTGTCCTGTTTGGTGATTGATGAGAAGTCTTGCTTTGGAAATTAAACTGTGGTACTTGTCAGTGTAACTGGTGAGCTGTGAATCAGAGACAAGAGCAGGTACAAGCAGAGGAATGTGTTTTACACTTCCAACAACTGGCCAGACCCAAGTTATTCAAACAACAGTGTTCCAGGATTTTTATAAAGGAACAGTTCCCACTGCCATCCTGCTGCCCAGAGCAGAACAAATATCTCAGCACCTCTTAATTGGCTTGCAAGTTGGCCTCTTGTCTTGAAGCCTTCTAAAGCTTTTCATGGGTATTAATATGTACATTGTTCTGCCCAATGCTTTCATTGCTATCTTTAGTTCTTTCCCTTGATGCTGCTGGTGTCCTGCTGGTCTGGACCAGCTCATGGAGATTCATAGTACAATTCCTTTTTATTTCTTCTTCTATTGAGGCAGAAGATGAAGATATCTCCTTTCTTCACAAAGATGTTTTTGCTCAGTAGTAACTTTGTAGTGGCTGCAGGACAGCTCGGAAGAAGCTCCTGCCTTTGGTACACCCATTCTGCTGTTGTATTTTTGTACTTTGCTTTGAGTCTGCAAAGGTTTTATTTCCTAGGGCTCATTTTCCCAATACACAGTTACTTTTTTGTTTTTTTTTTTTTTTACCCGGAGTTTTTGTTTTGTTTTGTTTTACAGCTTCATAATATAACCATTTTTAACACCAATAGTTACTTAAGCAGTCACTTCCACACTTTCTAGTGAAGACTTTTTTTAATACATTAATGTCAGGTAAAGATATTAAGAAACCAATTTTATACCATTTTCTACAAGCCTTTATGTTGTGGAACATACACAATTTCAGGTGAAGGTACAAACAGACTCCATAACAGGAAAAGAAATGTACAAAAGGCAGGTCTGGAAGTGCACCCTATGGATTCCTTAGCACGAGGAGCCTCACTGAGGGATTCCTACATCTCCATACCCAGAGCATGGATCTGTGCCTCTTACAGCAGGTCTTTAACTGTAGCAGGTATTTTGTGTCCTCCGACTGAACAGATAGGGGCTTCTTTGAAAATTCAAAGAGAGTGCTTCCCATCTTTTTTGTACCTTGTCTTAAAACTAAAGGGATTTCTTGCTTCCCCATGTTTCTGTTGTTGCCAATTACAAAAATCTTACATGAGAAGGTAAAATGAGTGCAAAGGCTACCCTACCAAGAAATTATCATCTGAATGATTCATAGGTCTGCAAAAAGATATTAAAGACCAAAAAGGTCCCTGTGAGAAGAATCAGAGGAATTACTAAAATGACACTTTTTTTATAGATATGTTCCACAAAATGTCTATTTAAAGCCCTAAAAGGATCCTTTTTCAAGCACATCATAATATAAAATTACTTTAGACAAAGTCTTTCAGACATATTTTCACTTTAAAATGCATTTTGGTCTAAAAATGTCAGCTCAATAGGAGATGTTTCAACATTCACGAGGACACCAGATAAGTGCAAGATAGTCCTGGTGGTGATTTTCAGTCATTGTAATTGAGCTCAAATTAAAGTGAGTCCCAGCTGTAAATGATCACTGACTAATTTACTAAGCCATTAATCCTGTCTATGAAACTTTCACTCATGCTTGCTTTTAAGAACTAAATTAAGAGTTAAAGTTCTTAAGTAGTTCAGAGGTGAAGACAAGTGATTTGTGGAACCCTGTCTCCTTTTCCAAATATATATTTAGTAGAGTTAATGTTATTTTATCTCTGACTGCACAGTCACTGTAGTTGCATTCAAAACTACTCACACAGATCTCTCAGCAGTAGCTGAGGAGAAAATGCTTCTACAAATATTTTTATAGCATGTTTCCAGATACATTGAGCTTCCAAGAATCAAAACTGTCACTATCTCAACCCACAGAAATAGAATTTTTTTTAAATTACATAATTAAATCACGTGACCAGGATTAGAGAAGCTAGTCCTTATTTAACAACAATCTGTGGTTTGTAGCAGTCTGTGTAAATTCTGAGGTAGTATTCTGGATAACAGCAAGGGGGAAAATAATTTTGAAGTGTACCTTTCTTTAAAGTCTTCTGCCTTCTCAAGACTTTTCTGATTTTTTCCTTCAATATTTTGGGAATTATTTTGATCTTCTTTAGTCTCTTTGAAGGTCTTAAAAGATAAAGAACAAATGGCACAAAAAGTGACAAAATTTGAACTATTTTAGCTACATGTTGCAAAAGTTTTCTAAACCTGATGAATTAGTGCTCAGTAGTAGATTTTGTAGGCAAGAGGTTCTGAAGACATAAGGAGAATAAAGTTAAAAAGGGGCAATATTTTTGGTTGGATCAACTGTAAAAGCTGGAATAAATAGAAGTTTTAAAGCATGGGTCTAAATATCAGAACCTGGAGCTCTTTACATGGTCTCCTTCATATCTATAAACAAATTCACCACATCCCTTCTTCCTGTGTGTTTACACAGCACAAACCACATTGGGAACTTCAATCTGGAACTAGGAGTGTCAAACAGAATCATAGAATATAAACAGAAAAAAACACCCGTGCAAAATGTGCTGCTATCAGCACAAGGCAGTAAATGGAGTCCTTGATCATTGGGTCCAGACAGGTAAAAGCACCCAGATTCAATGCAAAATAAAAAGCTACTAAACCTTTACAAGATTGGACTGCTCAGGCTTAGAAAAGACCTTTTACAGAGGGATAGGTCCAAATTCTGTACTGATAAAATCCCTTTGATTTTTCAGGAGATTCTCCTTCTGGAATTCTCATAGTCAATCAGCCAGTTTTACTGCTGGGTATTATATACCCACACATGTATTTTGGGGGAAAAAATAAGCAGAGCAGGAATTTCCATTATTCTTATTGTTAAGCATACTTAGTTAAAGACAAACCCTTCAAAACCCAGTAGGACCTGGGAAAGCTGCACACTCAAGCCCTGGGGCTCACTGAGCAGGGGCCCTGATCTATTTTCAAATGTGTTCTCCTGAGCTGACACCAAAGTCATTGTGACACGATGCCTTAGCAGAAAATGTGGCACAAACTGAGGTGAGCAGAAAGCAAAATATAAGAACCTTTACATTTGTAGACCCCTCTTCTCTAAGAAAACACATGTGATGCTATACAAACGTAATTATAAGGCTGGAATCATCCTGTTGGCCTGTGCACTGGAAAATACACCACTTTTTTGATGTTTCAGAAAATATAACAGTACTATGTATGACCACATACATAATATGTATTTATATAAAATAAAATTAAGAGACAGTTACCTTTTTTAAGTAGGCAATTTTCATTTTTAATTCTTCTGCTTCTTTATCCAGTTTGATGGTTTCCCGTGCAGCAGCTTCAGCAAGCTGCAAGGTTTCCTGTGTTTTTTTCCTCGAAGAGGCACTTGCATGTCATGGAATATCTTTTCCAACAATATATTCTTTCAAGTAAGGAATGCCATCAGACCCCTGACCTCTCTATGCCATAACACAAATGCTAGAGATGCAGGAAAGCTCTGAAAAAGCTACAGATCCTGGGAAAATCTTCAACTCCAACGTCAATTAAGCTTGTCCTAAATGAAGTGTTTTGATGGATATGCTATTAAATGAAATTTTATTTTCTTTCCCCAAAATGCTCCCATAAATTTAAACTGAACAGCTGAATTTGACCTTCAGTTTTCTCACAGAGAAATGCCAATGCTGCTACTCTAAATATAATTGTATAAATATATATTTTTATATACATATATTTATATATTTTATATAAATATATAAATAATTATTTTATTTTCTACTAGAAAGTTGTGAAAAGTAAATATAAAACTTCTTTCCTGCCAACTGAACAAACACTAAAAATCAAGGATACATGTGTACAGCCCAATCATTTATGGATGTGAAAGGAACAGCCTCTGCAAAAATAAAATTTACTTTCAGATCATTAATTAACAAATCAATTTTCTTAATAAATACAAGATAAATTAATAGATTGGGAGCATTTATCTTGGCTTAGTATAGATAACAAAAATTGCAGTATAACAGTAATGGCATTAAAAACAGCACTAAAAAGTGATGAAAATTAAATTTAAAATGTTGGGAGGTTCGATCTAAAGAAATCTTAGAATTTTTTTACCCCAAGAAGTTCAATAACAAATCTCTCCCCGTTACATTTATGAGAGGAAGGAATATTAGTATGTATAATCTATATTCTTTTTTGCTACAGATTTTTTTTTTCTAAAAATGGTGTAATAAAGAGAATATAGTTTATTAACTTATAGGAAACTTCAAAAATTAGAAGTTCCCTGTATGGCACCCTTAATGTGCAGTGCACACTGTAAAAGCAATGGCAATAGCAGTACCCAGATCATCCAAGGAAGCATCTGCTTTCCATTTGTATTTTTCAAGGCGTTTCAAAACTCTCTTTTGGATTTCTTCAACTTCTTCCTTTTGTTTGTAATACTTCTGGGCAAGAGCAGATTCTTTATATTTTTTGTGGCGTTCCTCCAAAGTCTTTCTACACTGGGCTATGGAATCCTCATATATTTTCCTACAAAAATACATGTAATTTATTTTTTTTCACAGGAAACCATTGTTTATAAGGAAAAAAATTATAAATTTGTGGCATCAGCTCAGTCGATACCATAGAACGAAAAGTCAGATTATATTTAATATGACAATATTTGGCTTTATTTTTTAATTTTCCACCTATATTCAATGAAGACTATGCTTTATGTAACAAAGAATAGTCATGATGTAAAAAACAGCCAAACCTCCTTGTTCAGAAGGGAATGTAGACCATATCATATTCAAAGGCAGCCTAACAGATAACAAATGTGTTTTTCCCTGTGTAATTATCACTAACTTCACTGCAGGCCAAAGTCTCTGCTGGTGCATGTTGGCACAATTCCATCAGTTTTGGTGGAGCTGGAGCAAAGCTACAGTAGAGGAGAATTTGGCCAAACTTCCCATATTTAGAGCAGCCTGGTGCACCACAGGACTAAGAGCTGCCTCCAAGGAGATGCTGAGTAATCTCTGTCTGACTCAGGGAAGCCTTAAACACACACATCAGTCACACTGAAACAACAGGACTATTCATACTTAAGGTTAAGCAAACACTTAAATGTTTAAGTGGCAAAGAGCCAGAATGCTCAGCTTCTTGTGGGGCTGCCCTGTAAATCAATGTCACCCTAAATGTAACTTCACTGACATCATGTGAGCACATAGCTATGAATTACCGAAGTAGGTAACATCAATGAATGCAGGAAAAGCTTCTGTAAACAATGGACAGGCAAATTTAAAAATATTAAGTTATTAGTACACCTAAAGATTAGCAAGAGATTCCTGTATGGGAAAAACTATGGTGCATAAAAGCAATTAAAGCCAGAAACCCACCTCTAAACCTGCCCCTACATTAAGGAACAGCTCTCACTGCTTGCAAAGCACACGGGACTTCTCTCCAAGGAACACATTTTACCTCAAACTGCTATTAATCATGTAATTACAGCATGACTGAAAGGCTGCATTTGACAGTCCTGGCTGCCCAGTGGCTGTGCCAGGCAATGGGAAAGAGAAAAACTTATGTCCAAATTCAATATTAGAATCTTCTGCTCTTACAAAAGGAAAACAAATTCACAAGGCAAAACACAGATTTCTAATTTTCAAATCAAGCTACACTCCAGGCACGAGTTCCTGTTAAACTGACTGTTAAACTTTAGGGGAGAGAAGTTGTAGGTAACACTGTGAATCTAATCTAGGAATTGGTATTTCCCAAACTTCACATAGAAAATGACAGTAGTTTACCAGCTTTTCTACACAGGTGTCTCAGGAATCGAAGTTTTTTTATTTGCTTAATATTTCTGTATACTGTACAAAATTTCCCAGGTATGAAAGATAAAGATATTCAATTCTATTTAATTAAATTGATGTTACAACAATAACTGATCAAAAAATAAATTTACTAATAAACTTAGAATGCATTACAAATACATTTAAAAAATATAAATAGGTAAAATAATTTGTTGTAACAGGTACATTTCAAACTTGTGAATATAATCCTAAAACTTTATATTCTTTTCCCAAAATCTATTTTTCACAAATAATATTTATGTCAATATATAATATAGGGGTCTTGGGTAATCATCACTATTTTTAATATTTTCTCGAAGTAATTTACATCCTCCAGTTCATGCAGATAACACAGACTGTTTAGAATTCACCACTGTTCACATTAATTAGAAAAAGTTTTAATCTAATTACAACAGGAAAAGGACAGCACTCACAACCCCCTGAACATTATGTGGATAGCAATTTATTACTTTTTCCTTCTTCATATCACTTAGTTTCAGGATTGACTTCCAGTTCATATAAGCATTCTTATATGTTCTTGAAACCAATAACAACAAAAAAATGTGGAACATTTTATAAACCTCAATTTTAAGTGCCTAATTAAACACGAACTGATCTACCCATCTTTTAAAAACAGCTTTCCATCTAAAGCAGCATGCCCTCAGTGCCCCCCAAATGCAAGACTAAGGAGAACATTCAGCTCATAAAGCTCTAAAGACACTTATTTTTCTTCCTAATTTAAATATTGGAATTTGCTGAATGCACATCTTGCTGACTCGAACATATCATCAAATGCTTTGATGCAGAGAGATGATATTTGGGGCATAGTTTAGAAAAATACATGAATTAAATTTATTTTGTGATTTGTAGTCATGATGTCTTATAATTAAGCTCAGGAAAACAGATCAAACACTTTAATGTTGGAATTGAAACTAGTTATCTAAAGAAGCAATTTAAAAGTAATGCTTCTTTGGCTTGTCAGCTCAAATTAGTGAAAGCCAAAATGGTTTAATCATATACTCATAGAAAGCCAATTTAGCCTTATTTTTCACCAAATTTAGAGCTCTGAACAGGAAGAAGAAAGATAAGCTACTAAGTGAGTTAATTAAAGGCTCTCAGGCATGCTGTTTCTGCTGTCTTGGACAACTGGCAAAAAGAATGATTACAAAAGACTCAAAGCCAATGTTTTAAATTACTTAAATTTACAACTCTAAACTGGTATTTAGGTATCTGGAGGGGTCTGCCGTGACTTTTGCACCACGGGGCCAAGCAGCCTCCACCCCTCACAGGCAGAGCAGAGCAGGAGAGCAGCCTCTCTAAAATGGAGGTAGATTTACTTTGTTCAATAGAACTTTGGAGGGTTACCCTGGCACAGCACATTTGGAACATTTCAGTGAGAATCTCCAGGGTCTGCTCTTTATTTCATTGGCTGTAGGCAGCTACATTGCACAATTAATAATTTCTTCTAAATGCTAAGACTAATTAATAAAAATAAAACACCTGACATGCCACTCCCTGAACAGAACTGAATTTGCAATTAATAATGACTACAAGCTTGTCTACAGCTGGTCTTAAAATGGTTTCAGACCAGGCTTTTCTGAGACACTTTCTCATTTTTCGGGACCTAAGAGTGAATTTGTATGCTTTGTGGTTATTTTGAAGAATATACAACAGCATACAAAAATTTTATTTGTATATTCTAATAATTCTATGCATTTCAGATTCAAAAATAAGGAAAAGCATAAAATTATCTGAATGCTTCTAATTGTTACCTGAAAAAAATAATTGTTTTTATTTATCGGGCTTTTCTTCAAACAGTAGGCAATTGTACAATATTCTAAAAAATTGTAATAGGCATTTGAAAGCAATTGAATTTCAAGAATTTATATTTTATCATATTTCTTTGGGAACTACAAAATAATATATGATCTCAAGGTAATGTAAACAAAAAATTATTTTAATTGTTCAATCACTTATAGGTGACTATAAATTCCTGAAAAGTTTGCAGCAATTTTTTCATGCAGACAGCATTAATTTTACTGATCAGTTTAGTCAGTACTACTGCTGGAAATCTCATCTCATGTGATCATAGATACCTCTCATTTTCTGTATCTTCCTTTATAGCTGTAATTTCATCTTTCAAATATGCTCCATGCTTTTTAAGAAATGCATAGGTGGGTTTCCAGCTGTGGACAAAGTAAACAAAAAACAAAAGCATATTAATGGTCTTTATTAGTAAAAAAAAAAACATTTAGGAAAGAAGACACCAAGTTACTTTAGCTAGCTTACAAATGATTTATTAATTTATATGAAAGTTAAACATAAATGGGTTTAGTACAGAAATCTTTTGCAGGCATGAATTTATTTTGCCAATATTCTACCCCTGCAAACTCAAGAAAAAGGAAAATATATATATTTAGAATTAAGAAACATTACAGAGCACTTTTTAAGGAATTAATGGAATGAACTTCACAAATATTTGCAGCAAATGCAAAATGATGAAGCATCTAAATCCACATTTTAGGTCCCCAACACATCACCATCAATAAATCCTTTAGATATGTCAAATTTTCTTGTTGCAGACACCCACAGCTTCATTCTCACCAGTATCACCAGCACCCATCTCACACATAAATGCAAACAGCAGTTAAAAACTCAGAATTTCCTCCATTTTCTAACCAAGTCTCACTCAAAAAGCATCAAAGTGACTTTCCTACAGCAGAATGCTGTAGATAGTACTGAGAGCAGAGCAGCTGCACAGAATACTCCTGACTACTGAAAGAGCAGGACTGTGTCAACATCCAGGCATTACAGATACCTCTGCCTTGGATAGGGAACACTAGACAATACAGACAGACTTTCTGATTCAAGTGAAACTCAAATGTGATCTTTAGGAGAGGCATATTAAAAAGTTTTTGAAAAGAAAGTATCCTGTCTGGATATAGATGGCATATGAAGTATGAACAATCCAGCATTCCTGGCACAAATGGTTGGACACCACTGGTAATTAAAAGTGGAACTACAAAATGTTATTTCACCATATCTACTGCAAATTCAGCAGAAAGCTGAATTTCAAAAGGGTCAGATTTTTTCAAAAGGAGAAACCAACTTGTGCTTGCACACCAGATGCTGTGATGTTCTTTTACTCAGAAAACTCCATTACTTTCTTAGGAGAAAATAAAAAAACCTAAGATGAAAAATTCATAGAGACTTTATTAATCAGAGTACCAGCCATGTTGTGAGTTACATTTTTCGTTCACATCTGTTCTGTGGACATGGAAAAAACATGTGGTACAAGAACAGTGGTTTTTGAACACAACCAGGTATGCAGGATTCAAGCAGCTCATTTACTTGTTTGCTAAATGCATCACTGTCTCATGGATATCCTTGGTAGCCACCACGTTTATTTGCCCTTCCTTTCATCAGCCAGAGTATAAGAAAGATCTTTATCCACACTACTCTGAAAGCAATAAAATTATCCTGAAGTTTGGCTAGTGAGACAACAATTTCTTTTCCTAACTTAACAACATTCTGAGTTCATGTGGCTTTTTAAAAATTATCTTCTATTTCCATGAAATTCCACCATCCTTGCATTCAAATTTTAAAATTGCAAGAGAAACAATAAAATTGGTATAGGTTCCATCAATTGCATTTCACTACTTCTTATTGCTCTGGGATTAACATTTGATTCAAACAGAATCCTTCAAGAAACTAAGTATTAGCAAAATGTCATCACTTGTCTAAAAATATGTTTCATTTGGGTAATTTTCTGTCTTCAGGTCTTTTTTATATAGACAAATATGTACTTCTTCAGAAAACACAGTATTATCCTAATACATCTATCCCATATATCATATTTTCTCTGGACTTGTTGAATATAAGAACCTTGTATTTTGTTCAAATCTGCTTCAATACACTCATAATGTCTCGTAACCCAGACAAAACGTTGTTTCTCTGAGAGCTCTATTGAGCTCTATCACTGGCAATTAGTCAGCTGTGAGGGTGATTGTGACTCCAAAACAGTATCTGAATTTACAAAACCAACATTAGAATCATATCCAGTATAGATGCAGTGTCAACTAGAATAAATTTTGGAAGTTTGGGGTGATTCTACTGTGTAAGTGCTCTAATTGTCTGATCTTACAGCCAGGGCTTGTTTATTGCAGTTTTCAGTCTGTCGTTAAATGACATTTCCAATAATTTAAGACACAAAGTCTCTACTCTTCTGCAAGCATTGTCCTTCTATGAATACATGTATTCATTAATGAGTCACTTCTCATTTTCAGTCTCTTTACACTAATGCCATTAATTATTCTTTGTAGGACTTGAGCCAAAACCCATTGAATTCAACGATTAAAATTTAGATCAGATCCTTAGTCCTACCCTTAATTTTTTACTCCTTTATTTGCATCACTTAATAGTTTGTCATTTGCAAAGAGATTTGCAGCCACAAAATGTGTCAAAGGAAGCAGTGTGGATAGTTTCAAAAACTTGTGTAAGTGTTCATTTTATACTACATTGGAGGCAAGAACTTAATGTAGTGGAAAAAAAGAATTTTTTCCCCAAGGTCAGATCTTTTCCCAGCTCTTTTAATGGTAAAGCTACAAATCAATATTGAATGGCAATTCATTCAAATAAGCCAGCCACTACACCCGCTTTATTCACTAATGATTCCATTCTTTCTTTTTCTTTCTGAGAGTTCAAAATAAACCTAGAATTGATCCCAATGCCATCTTTACTTCCCTCTTTATTCTCAGAAACACCCGCACTCTCCATGCACATTGCAAAAAAAAAATTTCAAATTTATGTCATAGATATTTTTATTATTTACCTTTATATATAGAACTGTAAGAAAACAAAACAGAATTTGCTAACAAATCCTCATTCCAGCTGCTAAGGAACTAATCAGATTGTGGAGAAATGGAACACTGATGGATTTTATTACCTGGGACAAACTCTCTGTATTATCAAATATCAATCTGCCTTTTCAGCTACCCTTGAAAACACCTGAGGTTTTAATTTTTAAAAACTACGTATCAGGAAGACAAAACTCCCCATAGCTGAATTGTGTCTTGAAAAGTTTCTAATTACTAAGATCAAGAAGCGATCAGCATTTAAAACTTGAACTGATTATCTGATACAAACGTTTATGTAAGGAAAACTGAATGGCAGCCCATTGCATTCATCAAAAGATTGTGCCCAGAAGACAAATTTTGCAGTCTGGAGCAAAACTGATACTGGCATCTGCCAGCAGAAGCACACATACGTATGTATGGAGAGGCAGTTTTAGTTTTCTTGTGTGAAAATATGTATAGAACAAAAAGTAACTTGAAACATGTTGTGAACAAAGAATAGAAAGATGTTCAATTTTAGGACGTCTTTTTTTTAACAGTATTCTTAAAATTGGTCAAATTTTCATCCAAGTGTAGAAAAACTATGCTCTTACTACATGAATCCCTGCTGCAAAGATAGTACCTTTGATCTTCCGAAAACTGGGGATTTTAATAAAAAACAAACCCATAATTAAATATAGTCTGCTTTTCTTTAATTCTTCTTCAGCAGATGGGTAATACTGTAATTTTTATACCTAAAGATTTGCAGTTAAAAAAACCCCAGGAGAATACTGAAGTTTTCTTTAACATCACTGCTATCAGAACATACCCATACATATTTTTCCCTTCCTTCCTCACTGACTTCCTTAATGCCAACCACAACTCAGAGTTCAGGCTCCTTTATACTCACACATCACAGCTCTTCATCCTGCTCTCGTTCTGCTTTTGCAGATCAGCAAGTTCCTCATTGCCTTTTTTAATATTTTCCTCCAACCAAGCAATTTCATTCTTTTCTTTTGTGATTTGTGCAGTGTACACTGAAATTTAAAAATAAATTTAAAAGTATATTCATGCATTTTCAACAAATCCATGAAATAAAAAGTCTACATTCAGAATGATTAAAAATTCCTTCTGAAAAACTTAATCTCCATAATGCCAGGTGAGTGGACAGTCTGCAATTAAGCAAGGTAACAACAAAGTGAGTCAAAACATAAGGATTTTCAGCTGGGTGGCAAGTACCTTAATAATCATCTAATATTGTGAGACTGCCATGATTTGTGCAGTTTCTGAATCCCAGTGTGTATAGAACTGAAGTAACTATTAGTGGTATTCCCCAGTTCAGTGATCCCACTGAAACACTACAAACCATGCACTGCTCACTCACTCTCCAGCCAGAAACAGGACCCTCTTTCAAATATTTGTATTCTTCTGCAAAAGCCCAGAAAATCAAATGTTCTGAGTGGGAAAGTTGACTACAATCAAGGAAAAATAAAAACATCACAAAAGGCATATAAGCAATTAGTGGAAAACAGAAAGAGAAAAATTAAAATAAATAGGAATTTTACTCAACGTAGGAATGTGTAATGTATGATAAATTAATATAGGACACAGATTAATTAATTTAAAAATGCATTATAATCTCAGGTTCTCGAGGAATAGTCCTTGAGATTTGTGGAGATTCTTAAGGCAAACTCTTAATTCTGCCTCTTTTGACAGCAAACAGCTGATAACACTTTTTGAATGAGTGGTTAGAGGACAATCCATGCTGTTGAACATGATCAGTGCTCTCTTCACAAGTAAAAGCTGTGAGAGCTATCATACATGCTCACCTTGCAATGCAATAAGCACAACTTGGTGAAATTTTTTTCTCTGCATTTTTTAATTCTTTTTTTTCTATACAAGATTTCAGATTCATCAGTGCTAAATCATCCCTTGCTATCACCGCTGCCATGAAGCACTAAATGCCAGAGCAGGTGACCCTACACACGTGTCAATCACTGCCCTTCCCTCATCTACTCAGCTTAGAGCATCTTAGTGATGCAAGATAGGTCTTGAGTTGGAATTACTGCTCTGAAACTTCAGGTCACTCTGAAGTTTGGCTCTGGTTTTGTACTACTTGCTATACATTAATTTTCAACAGCATCTGCATTTATAGCAGAAAATAAACCACTTCTCACAAAGAAATGTCAGTCAGTGAAAACCAAAAATTTCTCAATGTAATTTATTATCTTAGGTTATCCTTGGGTTATCTTCAGTCCCTTAATATTTTCAACATCTAAAGTCAGTAACTTGCCTTTACTTAGCGTGAAGCATAAATATTGGACAACTGACATGGCTTCATTTCTATAAATAAACAGATGACTGTGGCAGAACCCTGTAGACAGCTTTTTGAGATTTACCAAAATGTAACATAACGCTATTAATAGATATAGACTTCACATCTCATTTAGTATTTTTTACAGATAAGCACTTCTGTGAGCTGTTCAACTAACCTGTGCTTTCACAAGGACCTGGTGGGTGAGATCCCTCTCACCCAATGTTAGTGCAGGGACCTGCTTCAGAGCAACACACCCACGGCTGCAGCTACACCCAGCTGAGACAAGCTGACATTTTTAAAGTTTACTTTATCTAACCCACTTTAAATTGTTTCTTCAGGATAAGGTAAATCACACCCTAAAAGTGCCTATTTCTCTCCACTGGTAAGAAAGAGACTGTAGCCAAATAGCCTGATGAATCTCACACCAAAAGTCCAAGGCTGAATGCTACAGCTGTTCATCTGCCAAGTAATACTCACACAGAGACAAAATTACATCAGTGTTACTATTTTTTGCTAAGTTCTTGAAAGACTTAACCCAAACTCCTAAAAGCCTGAGTGTTGGCTGTGTGTTTACACAAATTTAGGTATCTCTGACCTGAACACAAAAGCAGCTATGCCATGTTACTACAGCCTTTGGATTTTCCCTAAGAGCATTTGCCCTAAGCCCGCATAAATGTTAAGAAAATCCTCATCTCTAAGGTTCAGTTGTGTGACTGGAGAGTTAAACCAGAATCCAAGGTGTGCCAGATTTAGTGTTACAGATATTTTCATGTTTAAGATGCTTCAATTTAATTGTGATAATCTTCTTAATGAATAAGTACTTGCTTGGACATATCAGTGAAGATTATTAGAAATGTTATAATCAAAAAGAACACCAATTAGACTAGAATTTTCTCTTCTTTTTTTTTTTTCATATGGAGGCTATGTGCTTGATTATCTACCTATGAAGTACCAGAGGCGAGCACAGATGTTCTCAGATTGTTTGTGGTAGAGAAACTATTCAGACATTCTCATGAGTGATTCCACATAGCAGCATGGTTAAAAAAATCAGTCCAGACATAAGTCCATAGTATTGTGTTGTCTGTAAGCCCTGGGGGAGAACAAATTTGACGCAGAGCAAGACTTTCTCTTTGGGTTTACTGTTTTGAATTTCAAATAAAATAACCAGCTGCTTGATTGCAAAAAAAGAAGAATCAGGCTTGAGGATGTAGTAGCAACCAAGAGAACTTTCATTATTTTAAGAAAACAGAAAGAGAGAAGATGCAGTGGGGCAGAGGTCCAAATCTGGAAAGAACAAAAAACATGAAGAAAGAAAGGGAGGCAAGTGGCAGATGTATTGAGCAAGCACAGCTGAATCAAAGGGCTGCCAGAGACTGTGAGGAGCTGCAGAGTCAGAGCAGGAAATGGCGCAGCATGAAACTGGCTGTCCATGAGGCAGCTGAACAGCCTCAGCTAAAAGTCGCGAGCAAAAGCAAAGTCTGCTGGGGAGAATGAGCAAGTATTGATGGCTAAAGATGAGGCAGGGTGAGAGCAGGACACGGGACAGCTTCCATTGTTTATCCTGCTTCCGCCCCCGAGACACAGAACATGTCCCAGGATTAACGAAACAAAATCAGTGTTCAGCTTCCAATAAAACGATAATTTACCACTACTCACAATTTATCTGATGATCCACAAGTTTCTTAGCACTGCGAGTTTTTTCTATCTGGGCAGCTTGAGAAGAAAATTAACCCTTCGTTATATACATATATATGAGTGGAGTTGTGAAACAAATACATGCTGTGCAGTATTAACTGCACAAACTCTGATTAACAATTATTTTAGCAAAATATCTAAATATAAATTTTACTATTAAATAGCTGTCAGGACCCCGCTCCACAACCTCCAGCCAACAAAACATAATGTAGGCAAAAAACAAAAGCTTAATATTATATATTTATTTGAAGTTAATGTAACTGTATAAAGCAGAAAATATCACTGCATGCAGTGCATAAGTAATTGTTAAAAAAAAAATGTGTGATATAATGACCTACCAAGCTGGACCGGAATTTTGTCTAAGTTGATCCAAACTTTGTCATTCATTGTTTAAACTTCAAAAGAAAAACGCAATTCAAAGATTTACACAGTCAAATGCCTTGTTGATACAATAAACAAGTCAAAATTGCAAGACAATACCACACATTTTAACATAAAAGGGAGAAAAGTAGTTTTAATTGCATTTGAATTACTATCTAGTGGAACCAAATTTCTCTCTAATGGTGATAAGGGACTGGTATGAGTCTAAACCACAGTTAGGAAAAAAGGAGATTTATAATTTAGGTAAAGCGTTGCTCCTAGAGCAGTTCTATTTGAGAGGCTTAATGTTCTCAGAAGGCAATGAAGAATGCAAGGGGAGATGTTTGTGTACAAAACGTGTAGCCTGTACTCCAGCTGGTTACTAAGCCTATGGACTGCAGTGCTGCTGATGGAAAAGCTCCTTCAGCATCCTGCACACTCCACCCGTACAACCACCAGGTCCATTTAAATCAAAGGTGTATGAATGCTAAATGTGATTACAGACAGGATTCTCATCAAATGGAAAACGGATTGTTATCAATTCTTCCTTCTGTTTGTACCGTGCTGCTAAGAGCAGAAATTCAGTTACACGTTTTTACAGAGATGAGGGATGATGGAGATCTCTAAAAGGGTTGCAAACACTGTTGACAGGACGCTCTGGACACGGCTCGTTAGCTCAGGTGCAGTAACAGTGAGCGAAGTTGTCCGGGCTTTAACTGTCCCACAGTGGCTTCACCATCACACTGCAAGAGAAACAAAGCCACGACAAATCGGTGATGAGGATGAGATCCTAATCCAGGATAAAGTGGAATAGAAAACAACTGCAGAATTTAACTAAAGTGGCATTAAGGCTGCATCCTGCAGCACTGAGCCTGTGGGAGCGGGAGGGGGAGGAGGCAGCGTCTAAAACGCTGGGTGTTTGACAGAAATGAATTTGTCTCATAGTTAAGGGAGGATCAGAACACCTAATCCAAGTGACTGGATTAGCACAGGCTGTGATAAAAACTCCGAGAAAGAGGTAATAGTTTTACCAAATGTATTTAAAAGATTGAAATCCTAGTTCCTAGTGCCTGGAAACACTTGAGGTAGTAAATAAAAAATCTTCTGAAAATACTATGAAAAATACTAGGAAATTCTATCTCAAACCACAGATCAAGGCAGAATATTTTTGCTTTCACACCATGTGAAAGAAAATTCAAAGTAATTCCTAAATATGAAAAACAATTTAGTTTGGAGCACGAATTAAAAAGCTGTACTCTAGAAATATTTTAACAGTATTTGTTAGCTGGTTTTCTGAAACTTCCCACAAAAAAAATGCAAGATATTGGGGCAAAGGAATTTTATTTATTGTTTTACAAACTGCAACACAAAGTTCATCAATAGAGCAGACTGTATAGTTGTATATTTTTAAGATAGAGACTATTATATTAAAAAAACAAATAATTTTACCTTTTGAATACTTTTGTAGAGAGAACGAAAGTGTTTATTTTCTTTCACTGTAGTTTTACAATAAAATTCATGAAAAGGGTAAAGTTGCGGAAAATAGTGCTTCTGAAAGCATGCACATGCAAAATACTTGTTATTCTGGTATTGTTAAAATGAAGTAGTGTAACCGCAAATGTTAAATGTTATTCTACGCTATGAATTAAGAGGATACAGGTGTCACTAGCACAAAGGGCTGAGAGATTCAATTGCTTTGGTAATATATTCGGTGTTTGCAGATTTTAGAAACAGTAGGTAACAACAGCCTGCAACAAGTTCTGACATTTGATGTCTTCCAGGATATGACTGTAGCAAAGACTGATTCTTGGACATACTGTAGAAAAGTAGCATAAACCATCAGCCAACTCAGGATGTTGGCTAATTCAGAGGAAATTCTCCTCTGTGGCTGATATTTTTGTTAAAAATAAATATGTAACACACGCGACTGGGTAAACCAGCTTCAGACTGCATCTATTCTTTCTAACGGGGCTATTCAGAATGCTGCCAGGAGAAAAGTATTATTATGCATTTTGCATTTTTGCACGGCATTAATGTAATTACACGGAACTCAACTGCGGCAATAAAGTTTCATAAATTAGAAGATTGTATTGGGTGCAGAACTCACAAGCCAACTGCCTGATGTGGTCTCAAGCCATTACAGTACTAACATTAATAATGCCACTTCTCAGTAACCCATCTGGCAACAGCCAATTTCCTCATTAAAAGGTGGAAAATACCCATAACCGATGAGGTAAATATCTTACTTAAAATCCGTATCTCGATTGTACCAGTTGTAAGCTGTGAAACAGTATTAATTCCAGTTGGCTCTATATGAATAATTGGCATCTTAGGAAGGCTCTTTTGAGAGCAAACCTGTGCTTCTCCCGTGTTATTCATTACTGTTTATGAGGGACTGGTTGTTCCAATCTTTTTGAAATTTAGAAGAGCTTAGATTTCGTGGTTTGTTTTTTTTTTTTTTTATGTCTGTTGATAAAATAAAAATGTGCCTCTTATCGTGTTGTTTATGCTCCTCTGCCCTTTTTTTACCACACTGTTTTAGGAAACCCTGGAGAAAACCTGAACCCCGTGAGGAGACCTGAACCAAGCACCCACTGTGGACTGCGACAAGTTACTTAGTTCGGCACACACCAAACAAAAGGCTTTCGCTGCAGATTATTCCCTGAAGTCTTCGGATTTAAAAATTAAAGCTATTTTTGTCAAAAGAGAAAAAACTGGGGGGAAGCCCCACCGTGCGGGACACCACAGGGGCTGCGGAAGAGCGCCACAAAATGGCGGCGTGAGAAACGGGGCCGGGTCCCTCAGGGCGGAGAGCGGGGCCGGGGCGCTCAGGGCACCCTCTGCCTTTGGGGACCATCAGCACTGGGAAAGCGACCAGAACGCGGCGGCCCCGCATCGTCTCGGGCACCGCCAGAAGGGAAAGGGCGAGGAGCCGTCCAGACACTCACCCAAGGACGAAGGGGCCACAGCCCCGCTCCCCGCCCGGACGCTGCCCCTCAGCGCCGGCCACGCCCTACGGAGCAGCCCCCGCGGCGCCTCAGCCGCGCCGGAGGGTGCGGAGAGGGCGGCAGGTGCTGTCTGCCCGCCGCGCTCCGTGCCGGGCTGCCTGGAGCCGGGGTACTCGGGCAAGCCCGAAGCAGCTTCGGCGGTCGGGAGAAGGGGCTGAGCCCGTTCGCCCAGCGGAACAACCGCAGCTCCCGCAGGGACACAGCGGCGGGGGGTGTGTGTGTGTGTGTGTGTGTGTCCCAAACCACCCGTCTGCCTGAACGGGGGACTTATGAGGGAAAGAGCAACATTTCTGAGGGCTTCGGGCGAAAAGCGATGAGGATGCTCCATCTACCGGGGGCAGCGTGCAGGCGGGCGGTGGCCGGGCGGGGAGAGAAGGTAGCGCTGCTAGAACGGGACATCGTCTGGAAACCTACTGGGGGTTAATTACATATTTACACGCTCTGGGATGTGGCACAAAAATAAGGAGCTACAGAGTGTGAGGTGCTTTATCCAACCCTCCAGGTCCCATTCGTGTTGCTGACCCAGCTGGTGGAAATCAGCCTAGATTATCCTTCCCTCAATCCCTCACGGGCCCGGCCCTCAGATAGTTTAAAAAGGCATTAAAGCATCTCCATTTTCATCCCGGAGCAATGCTTCACACTAAGGATGCTGTGGAATACCGGTTGCCTCAACACAAGCTGTGCTCACAAAATTGTTTGTTTATGGAAGATTTACAAGGCAAAAATGCACAGCCCGGGCGTTCAAGAAACTAGAACATGATGCTTCCCTCCACACTTGGCTGTTTTTTACTCCTAAGTGAGATTACTGAGGCAGAGGATGGATTTAAGGTTATGAATAGGCAAAGGAGAATGAATTGGGGGGTAGGGTACAAGCTGGAGGGGGAAAAAAACCGCCAGCCGATGAAAGAAGAAAGGATAGAGAAATAGAAACGGGACTGAAGAGAGAGGGTCACAGAAAACTCTCTGCCAAACTGCAACCCGGGTATCAGTCAGATGAGATGCTGCTTTCAGAACTGTCAATTCAACCAAAAAGAAATGCAGCTTCAAAGAGAAATAGCTGACCTACCTGGCTTCTGGTCAGCCGTGAGGGAGGGAAATAAAGAAGAGAGGGAGATGGAAACAGGCATGTGCTTTTGGAAGGCAGATGTCTGCGGCCTCTGCTCCTCTGTCCTTTCCAGGAACATCTCCCACCAATGTCTCTGACTGTCCCGGAAGGTGAGAGTCGCCCTAGGGACACTAATTCCTAGATGCCTCTGGGGCTCTGCATTTGTCACTTCGTCTTCCCAAAACATTAAATGTTTTCCCAAGGAGTAATGGCTTCAAAGCTTTGTCCTGCCTTAAGCAATTCCTTAAAGACCCTCTAAACTTCTCGAAATGTGAATTTAAGAGCAGAGTAGCAGTTAACTTCAATGATGCTCATTAACACCTTGCCATGTCCCGGTAATTTAACTCGTGCCAAGGAAGGCTGAGGTTCCCACAGATCCCTGTTTCACCCGGAAGGTGGTCAGTCGGTTCAACAGGCTTTGGATAAAGCCGGCAGGGACTTCCCGGTTAATTCCCCCTAGGGCCTGTTCCCACCGGGGCTTGGCAGGGCCTGGGAGCTCCTTTATCCATTTATTTATTATAAGAACTTCCAAACCGAGGTTATCACTTTGTACCCACCAAAAAGATGCCTTCGGAAGCTGTAGAAAAGAGAAATTTGTATGGCCCTGTTTCTGATTTGTTTATTTTCACTTGCTTCCTAGCAGAATCCCTCTAAAAAGTCCCCAACTAACCCCAAAGCCATAAACAACTACTTTCATTACCGATAGCAAGAAGGAAGGGTTCTTTCATAATATCATCTCTAATCAGTGATGAATGGGTTGCATTACTCTATAAAGAAAAGTAGTCAAATCAGGGCTCAGAAAAGGCATCCAAACCTTCTCCCCACTGCTGGCAGACCCCTAAACCCATCATCCTGTTAGCGGACAGCCCCGATGTTGCCTCTCGTTGAGCTCCATGCCCCTCTCCTATGTTCTG